TAACACACCATAAAAATACCTCTGAAGTAATAAACTATAAATTATTAATACCACAAAGTTTAGAGATATGTTGAGAATGTTTTTAATTTTTTGTTGCTTCAAAAACTTCAGAAAATTCAAAGATGCAAACAGTGCAATCCCTATCTACCAAAAAAAAAAAAAAATGCGAAACACTCTTGTCCCAACTGAAAGCACTTTCGGCAGTGGACAGGAGTCATCATGGATACTGTGACTGTACACAGCAAACTGTGATGCACTGTGTGAATCTGACACATTTCTATCATGACCAGCATTAAGGTTTTCAGTGATCTGAGCTACAGTTTCTCTTTTGTGCGATCAAGCTAGACAGGTTAACCTTTGCTCCCCATGTGCATCAATGTGTCTTGGGCCCCATGACACTGATGCCGGTTCACCGGTTGTCCTTCCTTATTCCACTTTTGGTAGGTACTACACACCGCATAATGGGAACACCACATGCATGACATCATTCTGGAGATGTTCTGACCCAGTCGACTGGCCATCACTATTTGGCCTTTGTCAGAAACACTCAGATCTTTTCACTTGCTCATTTTTCCTGCTTTCAATACATGACACCCAAGAACTGACTATTCCCTTGCTACCTTACCCACCCCTTGACAGGTCCTATTGTAATGATATAAGCATTGTTATTCAATTCACCTGTCAGTGGTTTTAATGTTAATGATCAGTGTATTTGCAAATCACTGCTACAAAATATTTACAGCATACATGTGATTGGACCAGAGGCATTCCCTCGAGAGTGCTTAAAGACCAAAGTGTGATAATTTCCAGAATCATCTCTGTAGGGATGGTACCAAAGTATTGGAGAATGCAGATATAGTACCCATATTTAAAGGAACACTCAAAACACTAAGACAACTTTAGCTTAATTAAGTGATGTTGGTATATAGATTACCCCCTGCAATCTAACAGCTAAATTCTCTGCCATTTATGAGTTATGTCACTTACTTGATACAGTCACCTTATCAGGGTTGTGTGCTGAAACCCACAGTGAAACACGGACTAAGGGGAGAACCAGGAAGGACAACACAGGCAGGATCCAATAAAACAGAGTCAGTCAATCCAAAGGTCTATATAGCAGGCAGCAGATGTTTATAAATGGTTAGACAGACTGGCTAGTGTTCTCTTGTCAGCTTACTATTGTATTATTTTATATGCGAGTATTAGGTGTACCTTAGTTGGCTTGATTACATCATTTATGAGATGCAACCATACCAAGTAAGTGATTATGTTTTAAAACATTGGCCTTAGAAAGTTCTTTGGAATCTTAAAAATGCTCCATAGAAAGTGTTGCATTAGACAAATGCACTGTAATACTTATGATTCCTCAAGGCCCCTGTACTTTTAGATGTTCCTATTCATATGCAGCTACTTTATCTAGACACCTCTCATTCAAGTGCGTTTTGGGGACACTGTTGTAAGGCACCCTAGTAGTTAAAGGGATACTATAGTCACCAAAACTACTTTAACTTAATGAAGCAGTTAATGTGTATATATCATGTCCCTGCAGTCTCACTGCTCAATTCTCTGAAATTTAGGAGTTAAATCACTTTGTTTATGCAGCCTTAGTCACACCTCCCTGCATGTGACTTGCACAGCCCTCCTAAACACTTCCTGTAAAGAGTCGTCTAATGTTTACACTTCCTTTATTGCAAATTCTGTTTAATTTAGAATGTCTAACCTCCTGTACAGGGGCGGACTGAGAACCCTCAGGGCCCCCGGGCAAAATAAATCAAGGGCCCCCTTACAGGCCCCACCCATACTCTGCAGCAAGCGCCACCCTTGTCCCGCCTCCAGCCACACCGTACACAATCTTTAGACACAAGGAACAAAAGGGCAATAAGCCCTTCGAGGCCCCAGTAGAGACTACAATTGAGGGCTAATGGGCCATGGAGGGGGGTCTTTCTAGCGGAGGCTATCTCAGTGTCCTTTAGAGGGTGTGTTAGAAAGAATCCCCTCCAAGCCCCATTAGAGACTACAATGGAGTCTAAAAGGCTTGGAAGGGGGTCTTTCTAACAGAGGCCATCTCAGCGTCCATTAGATATCCCCTGCTGGAAACAGTCGCCTCCAGGCCCCAGTAGAAACTACAATTGAGGGCTAATGGGCCATGGAGGGGATTTCTAGCAGAGGCTAGAGTCTAATGGGGCCTGGAGGGTGGTTTCTCCAACACTCTGGTTCCTATTCACAATATAGCAACACAACATAGCTCGCTGATACCTAAGCCAAGTTGGCTCCTCTTACCTTAATTACTGTTGCTGGCTGGCAGTCTGTGGGCTTGCTGGCTGCGGCTGGCAGGCTGTGGGCTTGCTGGCTACTGCGGGCAGGCTGTGGGCTTGCTGACTGCGGCTGGCAGGCTATGGCTTGCTGGCTGTAAGCCTGTGGCTTGCTGTAGGCCTGTGGGCTGGCTACTGGCCTGTGGGCTGGCTACTGGCCTGTGGGCTGGCTACTGGCCAGCCTGTGGGTTGGCTGGCTGGCTACTGGGGGACTTGTAGATTATTTAAAGAAATAATCCATGCACAATAACCACTACTGCTCCAGAGTAAGTAGTCAAACCGTTTAAGAACAGTTTGACAACTTACCTGGGGTCTGCTGGGATATGAGGCTGTAGTAGGGAATAGGAGCAGTGGTGCAATGTGTGTGAAAGGTTCAGTGTGTGTGTGGGGGTGTGGTGTGTGAATGTGTAGGGTGTGTGGGCAGTGTATGTGTGTGGCAATGTTAGTATGGGAGGCTGTGTATGGGGGTCTGTGTGTATATGGGTGGGCAGTGTATGTGTGTGTGTGAGGCAATGTGTGTAAATGTGTATGGTGTGTATGGGGGCAGTGTGTGAATGTGTATGGTGTGTGTGGGGGCAGTGTGTTTATGGGGCTAGAGTTCACTCTCACCACTGCGACCACCAGGAATCCATGGGGTTACAGTGTTGAGAGTGAACTCTAGCCCGTAGCTCCAGGGCTAGAGTTGACTCTCGCAAGAGCAGTAACGTTGCCATGGTAACCGCGGCAACGCTCTGTGCTCGCGCAAGAAGGACTCAGAGGAGCTGCAGGGTGAGCTCCCAGGTCCTCTCTTCCTCCCCTGCCCGCACGGTGCCTGCGGACAGGGGAGGGGGGGCATTCTTCCCTCTCTTTCTCCCCCCTCCCCATCTCTCTATTCCCCTCTTTCTCCCCGTGTCTCATTCTTCCCTCTCTGTCTCCCCATCTCTCTATTCCCCGTGTCTCATTCTTCCCTCTCTGTCTCTTTCTCCCCCTCCCCATCTCTCTATTCCCCCTCTTTCTCCCTGTGTCTCATTCTTCCCTCTCTGTCTCTCCCCTCCCCATCTCTCTATTCCCCCTGTGTCTCATTCTTCCCTCTCTTTCTCCCCCCTCCCCATCTCTCTATTCCCCCTCTTTCTCCCCGTGTCTCATTCTTCCCTCTCTGTCTCTGTCTCCCCCTGTGTCTCATTCTTCCCTCTTTCTCCCCATCTCTTTATTGCCCCCCCTTTCTCCCCTCCCCATCTCTCTGTTCCCCCCTCTTTCTCCCCCTTTCCCATCTCTATGTCCCCCCTCTTTCTCCCCCCTCCCCATCTCTCCCCTCTCTTTCTCCCCCCTCCCCTCTCTTTCTCCCCCTTCCCCTCTCTTTCTCCCCCCTCCCCTCCCCATCTCTCCCCCCTCTTACTAGTCAGAGGGGGCCGGCCGTTTCATTTCTAGAGCCGCCGGACCGGGTGGCAGCCTCGCCGGTCCGGCGGCATTCCTCTCAATAACACTGAAGAAAGGAGGAGGAGGAGCATGTGTCTGTCATGCTCCTTTGCGGTTCCCACATCCTGTGCTGGGAATTGTGGGAACCGCAGGGAGCATGATAGACACATGCTCCTCCTCCTCCTCCTCCTCTTCAGTGTTAGTGAGCGGAATGCCGCCGGACCGGCGAGGCTGCCACCCGGTCCGGCGGCTCTAACATGAAACGGCCGCCCCCCCTCACAGTGTGCCACCGGACCGGCCACCCGGTGGCACCTGCAGTCCCCAAATGCCGCCCCCAATCCAGCCCTGCCGCCGGGCCCCCTGAAGGCGGCCCTGGCGGCGGGCCCCCCTCCCGGCCGGGCCCTCGGACCGTGTCCGAAGTGCCCGACCGGTCAGTCCGCCCCTGGCTCTATGGCAAATCTGCTGTTATCTGCTCAACTAATGCTCCTTGTAGAGGAACACTGAAATCAATGCATGAATATGAGAAAGACTAGCTCTATTCAGCATCATTATGCTGTGCATGATTTTGCCAAATGAAGATATTCAAAAAACACGAGGTCTTGAAGGAGGTATTGTTTGTCTGTCATCCGCTGAAGGCATATTTTTGGCTAAATCTACACATTTCCATTTCTCAGACACTGCACTATTTACACTGTCAGAGAAAAAAAAAATGCATTTTATGTACCAAGACCACTACATTAGGATATAGTGGTTTTGATGCTTTGCGGGTCCCATTATATTTAGTCTGCAAGAAAATGAATGTAAATAGAGACATTGATTTCTGCAAATTAAACATGGTTGGCAGTGTCAGTTTTCATTATTGAGGTCCTTATATCTGAATCTATCTCTCTATCTCCAGTTTCAGGTTATGAGTTTCTGAAGTGCCAACAGGCATCATATGCCTAAAGAATCCTTCGCTAAGAATCCTTCTATGTACACAATAAAAATTTTTTTACAAAAAGTTATCTAGCAATGCTGTATTTATAGCAGTATATAATAAATAATGGAAGGAATCCAATGGATTTAATACAGAAAAATTCAGGTATACAAATGGACAATAGATGGCCGTTATTTTGGGAAAATCTGCCAGTGTTGA